TGAAAGGATAAGTGTGCCAAAAAGTTTAGAAATCGGGAGATACTCCATTCGGTATCGTGTTACCTTAATAATTTACCAGTGATGTATTGATTACGTTCGTTAAAATCTATGACATCACTACATGCACACACGGGCATAACGAACCGTATGATGTAGCCAAAGGAACATCGCCGTCTAAAAAAGGAAAATTAACAATAGGGAATAAAAATCGTCTCTTTTGTCGTAAATTTTAGTATGGAGTGATCCTTTAGAAATTGAAATGTCTAAATCTAGAAAAGGACAACTACTGCTGTTTATGTTAGACTTTTTTAAAGTTAGTTCCTTTGGGTAAATTTCGGTAGTATATTTAGAGAACTCTCGATTATTTAACGAAAAAATATCATCAAGATAACGGTAGGTATTGTTGAATGTGTCAACCAAATGTAACACTGACGTGTCATTACTGAGTTTGGCCATAAACTGTGATTCATAGCAATACAGGAATAAATCTGCTATTAAAGGGGCGATATTAGTGCCCATAGGAATACCTACTACCTGTCGATACACTTTATCGCCGAAACGTACATATATGTTGTCAAGGAGAAAATTTAAAGCTTCAATCATATCTTCACATTTCCGGTAAGTGAATCTAACATACTTTCCTTTTTCGTTACAGAAAAAGGCTTTAAACGAGTTACAGCAAATACATTTTCAATGAGATTTTTCAAAAGACCATTTAATTCAATCTGAAATTTTTTTCTTGATAAGATTGTGTGGAAGTGTAGTGCAGAGAGTAGAAAAATCGTACTGTCAACATAATAAAAAGGACCTTCAAAAGCACGTATTTTATCTAAAACTTCTAAAGAATTTTTAACACTCAAAAAATAATTAATACCATTATTTTCATAAACTTTATTACAAAAGTTAATAATAAGTTCTTTGATAGTAGTAAGGGAGGTAGTTAGAAGCACTGACAGATTAGTAGTAGAACACTAACTAGATGCGGAGATATAACGAAATTTAAATGGTTGTTTGTGTAATTTAGGTAACCAGTAAATAGTCGGGACTTTCAATTGTTCGGGAGAGGCTTTAAGCTGGGTAGCGGCAGTGATATGCTTGTTTACAATTCGACTCAATGTGGAGCGTACGGACCTGAATGTAGAAAAATTGATAATTTCGTTTTGGAGAACTTCCGTGTAGTATATGAGTCACACCACCACTGCATTATTGGCTGCTTCGTCTGCCGATACGAATAAAAACCGCTTTGAGAGTACTTGGAGTTTATTTTTTATTCTAGAAATTGGTATATCATGAACCCTATTATTATTTCAGAATTGTTTTCAAAATGAGATATACGAATATCAACAGTATTCATAATTTTATTCAAATAACTGTCTAAGAGATTTTTTATCAGATTTTTCACGTTTACACCAAATTTTACAGTAGGCAGACAGAGCGTCTTTAATAACCTGACGACATTGTTTCCAATCTATAATAGATGGAGGGCGATATTTAGGTCCATTCTTAAGAAAAGTTTTGACCTCACGGTTTTCAACGATGTTGAGGTCTCCTGTAATGACATGACCATAGGAAACATATCTAAAACTAGATGTTTCACAGTATCAAGTGGAAGGAGCATTATTTTCTATAGTGACGTCAGATGTTACTGACGTATAATCAAAAATCAAACTTCTGCTGTTTTTTTTTTTGGACGAATACGAAATATTAGGGTGGTTCTGTATTATCAAAATATGGAGGTATTTGGCTATGGACGGTAGAGTCATTGAATATACTAGATAAGTTAATAAAATCAATACCTCTATTTATATATTTTAATTTAAGAAAATGCCGTTTATGATTTTCAGGTTTATCGATACTAGGAAACAGCCTGTGATGACAAAAGGCTGTAATAATACGGGTGTATTCATACAACGGGCTAAAAAAACAAACTGAAGGTCAACTTTATCTAAATGAGTTGTAGTCGAACCCGTCTTATTAAGGTTAAATTTGCTTAAGGGAGTTGCAACCGAAAACCGTCTAAGGTCAATTTTGCCTATGGCAGTTGTAACCGAAAACCGTCTTAGGTCAATTTGCCGAAGGGAGTTGTAGCCGAAAACAGTCTAAGGTCAACTTTACCTAAATGAGGTGTAGTCGAAAACCGTCTAAGGTCAACTTTACCTAAAGGAATTGCAGCCGAGCCCGTCTTATTAAGGTCAACTTTGCCTACGGAAGTTGCAGCCGAAAACCGTCTTCGTTCAACTTTGCCTAAGGAAGTTGTTGCCGAAAAAAGGCCTAAGGTAATTTGTTTCTAAAGGAGTTGCAACCGAAAACCGTCTAAAGTCAACTATTTAAAGCGGTTCAGACACATGAAATTTATTACGTGTTGTTTTCATTTTTTGCTTTAGGAAGTTGCAGCCTAAAACTATCTAAAGTCAACTTTGCCTGAGGTAGATGCAGCCGACATTCGTCTAAAGTCAACTTTGCCTGAGGGAGATGCAGCTGAAATTCGTCTAAAGTTAAATTTGCCTGAGGGAGATGCAGCCGAAATTCGCTTACGGTCAACTTTGCCTGAAGGAGATGCAGCCGAATTTCGTCTACAGTCAACTTTGCCTGAGGGAGACGCAGCCTAAATTTGTCTAGGGTGAACTTTGCCTGAGGGAGATGCAGCCGAAATTCGTCTACGGTCACTTTTGCCTGAGGAAGACGCAGCCGAAATTCGTATAGGATGAACTTTGCCTGAGGGAGATGCAGCCGAAATTTGTCTAAAGTCAACTTTGCCTGAGGGAGACGCAGCCTAAATTTGTCTAGGGTGAACTTTGCCTGAGGGAGATGCAGCCGAAATTCCTCTACGGTCACTTTTGCCTGAGGAAAACGCATCCGAAATTCGTCTAGGGTGAACTTTTCCTGAGGGAGACGCAACTCAAATTCGTCTAAGGTCAACTTTGCCTAAGGGAGTTTCAGCCTAAGTTGTAGTACGATTACAAATTGGAAATATACAAATGAGGAAATATGCTATTAGAATTAAGTCAATACTGAGGCAAAGACTACTGGTACAATCAACGACCTTGATTTATAGTCCACAGACAGTGGTACCGACCAAGAATACTGGTACAATCGACAACCTTGTCTTATAGTCCACAGACACTGGTACCGACCAAGACTACTGGTACAATCGACGGCCTTGTCTTATAGTCCACAGACAGTGGTACCGACCAAATGGACGTAAGGTTAATAAAATTTAAAGTCAACTATAAAACGTTAAACAGTTCCAAAATAGACTTTACTGCAACAGTCGAAATCTCAGATCAACTTTACCTGCGGGTGTTGCAAGCTTAATTTTAGTTGATTACAAAATACATAGAGAATATTTCGTTTTACAGCATGCCAGTACCGAATGAAGGGTTAATAGAGGTGTGATATAGCTATATGTACTAAGACAAACTCTCATTAGGGAACAGAATTAACTTTGCATAAATCAAAACTAGCCATTGCTTCCACCATTTTACTTAAATTACTTAACAGTCAAACGTATTACACTCAGCTTAAAGAAGACTATCATGGTATATCCTTTTGTGTTTACTGGAAACTCTACATTTTGTAATAATTCCTGAGAGAAAACTACCTTGAATCCATACATCTTCACGTCTATTATTAAATGAATTATGAGGAATCCGTAAAAATTACCTGAAGGTCGAAAGAAAGATTATTTGTCCTTTAGCTAACCAAGTCTGTAAATCAGCTATTCATTTTTTTTCGCTGTGGATGCAGCTTTTCAAATGTGAAACAAAATTTCAGACATGACATCAGGAAATTAGTTTACAACACAGCTGACAGCTCACACTGATTTTTTTTAAATTGAATGTCTTTTCTTTTTGTATCAAATTTCGTAAAAAGCTTTATTCTGTATAATGAAAAGGACCTTCACGATTTTAAAATAGATTTCCCGATCTATTTGTGATAACAATATAAAAGTCGACGAAGCAACAAGAAAAACAAATGACTCTGTCGCACTTTTTCTTTGAATGATAATACATTTACACGGTATTTTACACTTCCAATAAACAACGACTCCGTTGATGAGATTTTAAGGTCAAAACAATAGTCAATCTTTGCTCTAACAACTTAAACGAGATCAAACGTTAAATATCGGAAATGTATACTACACGTGACAACAACTGATCTTCAATAGTTAAGTTAAAGTCATATGAAACGAGTTTCTTGTAATTTTAATGGTATGGAAATTATTGAAGCAGTTTATGCATATATACTAAACTAAGTCCTATATGCACGTTTTGTATATTTATTACGAATCTATAACGTATTATCAACAAACACTATTTCATTCAGTGATTGTTGATCACAAGCTTATTTACTTTCAGGTTTGTTACCGAAAATTACCGTTTTGTGGCATTGATAAACAATCAACACAGAGCATGTGGAGCACGTGATAAAAAAGTGACAAGCTATTTTTTTTTTATAGTTTCCATTCATTTACATTTGTTATCTAAACTTTTCCTTAACAGTTGTTAGATGTTTTTTGTGTGTCAGAATTGTTCTTTAAGAATCAGTTATTACTATTTACCCTCCAGTGCATGTTTGTTTACATTCTTTCATCATGGTTTTCCCCTGGCAGTTGAGCTGTGCGGTGATCGAAGTTGTAACGAGCGGTCTCGTAGTTAAGGTCACTGCATACGGGAAAATATCGGCGAATTAGTGTATGGGAAGATAATAATTCAATAGCAGTACATTTATGAAGATTTTGATAATTAAAAGGAATTTCTTTTACAAGAGAGTTCACATACACTAGTTTTATAGTACAATTTAGCCGTTCAAGTATACAATACATACTACAATTTAGCCATTGAAGTATACAATACATATTTCAACTGTTTTTTTTTAAATTTGAAGTTTCATATGACTTTAAACCGCTCGTTTTTTCCTGCATATTAAAATATCATGAGTTATCTGTTCGTATCTTCGCACTGTAGGAACAACTAGATACCTGTCTGATTTGTTCTTACCTGTAAACTCTGACGATAACGTAAGAGAAATGAACGTAGATCTCCTAATTTACAAAAGTCCATCAATAAACAAACGGTGTCTTTTTTACAGCATCCTATAAAACTAACTATATGAGGATGACTTCCTAACCGTTTCATAAACTCTATTTCCATTAGTAAACTCTTCTTTTCAGGAACATCATGAAAATCTAAAAAGTGGAATAAACAAAATGAATAAAATGTATACAAAATGAATAAAATATTTGGTATGAAGAGGTGAAAATTTATGTCATTTTATTGTAGGTCATGTAGTAATTAAGTGTGTTTTTTTTTAATTGTAAGCATTAATGGATCTTAACAGAATCCTTGAACGTCATGGATTGTTGTATTCTGTATTTATGTTTTGAAATTTCACAGAAACTCCACTGGTTATCTTAAAATTACTAAATACTTATATACAATGTATGATCATTAAGAGCAGCTATGCATAGGATTCATCCCCGTTTCAATGCAAGGACATCAACAGCAAGGTTTTTGTACATCTTTATCGTTTTTTTCCAGGTTTTGTATACATCTTTCTTCTTTTTAGGTTTTTTGTACATCTTTTTGTTTTTTAAAGGTTTTTTTTTTTGCATTCTGTACTTTTGGTCTTTTATGATATACTTTTAGCTCTGTTTATGTAATATGAAAAGAACTGAAGTAGTTTCAAATAGACAAAAAAGATTATTTTGTAAAAACAATGAAACTATCTTAATGTTTACAATAAAAGGAAAACTTTAAACATATTACCTTTTAGCATTTTCACAGCTACAATAAAATCTTTCTCTTTAGAAAGTTTATTGTCATTTAATTTAGCTTTGTAAACTTTTCCGAAGGCGCCTTCTCCTAATACCTCTAGTAGCATCAGCGATGAAAAGTCTATTTCATAACAGTCATCAACTTGTGTAATGGAGTCAGTACCCTTATGGTACAAAGGATTCATTTCCTGTATAAACCAAAAGCAAATATTTGTATGAACAAAACTGTTCGGGTAATCACGAGACTTAACACAAATTTACTTATAGTTTTTTTTAGACTCTGGACGATCTATCTGACATATTGGAAGGAAACTTATCTATAGATGAAGACTGTACGTTGACCCCTAAATGTCCTTTAGTTCTCTGTGTCTTTGTATTACTGCCTCATTAAAATTAATTGGGAGTTTAATATACACTTACTCATCTACTCTCTGAAATGTGTTATGATGTTATTTCTGAAAGTCGGCTGATTTGATTGTAGTAGATATGTTTTACAATGCATGTGACTAAAATAAAACACATATTGATGATTCTACACAATTGACAAAGACTTTCAGATCTGATTTAAAGTAATAATGACTAGAAGTAGACTTTACAAAAAACTTATCTGGATTTCAAAATTATGGTTTGAAAATTTGAGCATCGGATCTTCGACTTCTGGGGGAAAATCCAGAGGGTTAACACGAGCACTATTTACACCATTTTCTTCAATCTATATCACCTACCTCCCCTCTTCCTTCGTTAGTCTTGCCATTCTGTTGTCGTTGTAATTTTATTCGAAGATAAATACCCAATGACAGAGCTATAATGATTACGGATATACCAACTAATCCTGTAAAACAATGAATTACACAATAATTCAATTTTTGATGTAACACGTGTTCTGATTGATTGAAAGTTTTTTGTCTATCAGCTCATAGACATAATTTTGTCATTGACCGTGACGTCATCAACGTTTTTTCATGATTTACTCCTTAAAAATGGAATTTAGAATTAAATTATAAGGACTGACTGTAATATTTTTTCTGTCTATTCGAAATAACATAACAAATGTGGTGCACACTGAATAACCCGCGATTGTAGTAGATATGTAAATCCGTAATTCAGTGTGCACCATATTTTTTATGTTATTTCTTCATAGACAGAACAAATATTACAGTCATTCCTTAAATAAGATATTCAACTATCTGATGACTTATAATATTTGAAAATGCTGAAGAATAAAACAAACAAGTTTAAACATCTTATATATTTTACAACATATGGAGTAAAGTGAGTGCGTTCATAATTTAGAATTTTAAGATTAAAGATTTTTTTTACTCTTGAAAGTGTCTAATATTTCCATGAAACAGAGGGTACTTTGTTTGATCGTGGCAGAAACTTCGTTTTGAAAAAGTGCACACATATGGACCATCGCATTGTTGTTGCAATGGTCCATAATTAAGCGTAGAGAGTATAATACACACATAGTAAGGATCAGAATTAACACTCCTTATCCAACCGGACATAGTTGCGTACATATTTACCCCACACATACAAAAGGACGTCCCGTACCTGAATTCAGCATGGGCTTTATTGTTTAGCCAGGTGATCCTTTTTTATTTCCAAATCAACCCTGGTTTGAAAGCTCAAGATACTTGAAAGTACATGTACTCTAAATACAACATTAATTTCCTTATCATTTAAATGTAAGTAAGGTACTTACCTCCAAGTATTAAATTCAAATGTGTGTGATTACCTTCTGTCAATTCTAATGGAACTGTCCACTGACAACCTTCTACAAAACGTGATGATTACATTATAAAACGACCAGTTCTTCAACCGTCGAATTTTCATTACAATTGTGCACTGGAAGTGTGTAGTACTATGTTTTTGTATGATACATGTATGAAGTCCTGTTGTTTTTAACGGTACGGTAGTACGTTATGTGAGGTCACCAAAATGCTTTCTGTAAGGGTATTCAAATCATCGTCAATATGCTTTTTAGATATGGAGCATGTGCCAATGAGACAGTAAACCAATAACACAAAAATGACATCTAAAGGTCAGTAAAAGACAAATATACATTTTTTAATTTCTAGCGCAAACCGATTGAGAGGAAGAGTCTACACAAGATTCTACGTTTCTTTTTGAAATTAAGATGACAAAACCTGATATTATTATGTTTTTCTGTGCGTCAATGATACCTTCAGGGATTTTTTCTTCACATCAAGTGTTATTAACACAGTTGTATCAATTAAAATAAAAATTAGAAGAAATGCAAGAAAAGAAAAGCTCACAAAATTATACATCCCGCCAATTGTAAGATTCGTGATTTGTTATGAGAAACCCCCACAATAATTCGTTTCAAAACACAAAAAGCAGGTACACAGTGGCATGACATGGTAAAGATTCTGAGAACGTTTCAATGAATTATAATATTGGATTCAGAAGGAGTTGCGAATATATAATTCGTACCTCAAATTAGGCTATGACTATAATTTGCTAAGGAACTACAAATATTTTTATCAAAAATCATGTGAAGCTTCCGAGAAAATTTTTAACTAGGGTTACTGCGGGCAACGCTCTCAAAACGACACCCTTCCTCCACAAAATGCAATGGAAAAATATATGGTTTCCTAGGGAAACCTACAAACATTCAGACAAAAAAAATCACACAGAATGAGAGGTGCACAATTAAATTATTTGGTGAATACACTAAGAAATGTAAAGTTTCAATAAATTCTAATAACAGGTTAAGAAAAAAGTTGTGGCTACAAATGGAAACTCCGCTTACAAAACAATGGCAAAGTTTATGATTTGATAAGGAAAGGCCCAAAACTCATTTGGATTAAAAAAACGAAATCGGAGGTGCAAAATGGCATTACATGGTGAAGATTCTGAAATTTCAGAAATACAACTATTGGATTACACACTCCTGACATGGGATAGGTACTTGCATAATGTGGCGTGGTAAAACATGTCTGAGGACCCAAAATATTTCTCCCTAACCTAGGACAGTGAAGTAACAGCACAACAAACAATAATCAAAGTACTGAAATACTGAACATCGGATGACCGCAAGTTCTTGTGGATGGTCACAAGCACTTGTCTCAGAAAAAAAAATCACATCTCTATACCTTAAAGTGAGGTTAAGGTACATAGATATATTTTTTTCTGAGACAAGTTCGTCCGTGGATGATGAATAAATGACAGGGAATTCAACCTCACCGTAATAACTATTATATTGTAGTGATACAAATCAGTATACTCGGGGCTTGTTGTTATATATTATACTAATATTTGTATATAACAGTTACATGTATATATAATTTTCATCTATTTGTATATCATTCTATTCTACTATTCTAATAATAGTGCAGTGCAAGTGAATGGTGGACACACTTCTGTAACAATTCTATTTTTCTAATAGATTGGATTTGAGTAGGCATTCATATTTTCCCGCAAAACGTTCTTGAGATATTCTTCCGCATGCGTTAACACAAATTTTTGGTATTCTTGATTTGTTATTGATATATATATTTCTCACGACAAAACATTTTCATATCATTTATCTATGTTCTTAAAAATTATTTTCATGAATATTTATTGATGAAATTAATATATAACAAGCGATAAGGAATGTTATTTTGCGTTCGGTTATCAATCAAAAACGAAAGTCACGTGGGTAGAAATGTCTGTGGCAACAATACACCGGAATGCCCTCACGGTCATCCGATGTAAAAATCAGTTAAAAAAGCTCGACTCATCAGATCGGCACAAAGCACACAAAAGCCAACTAACAAAAAGACATAAGACACAAAACAGATCTGAGAGAACTCACAGTTATAGAAAGATTCTTCGAAGCCAATAGCAAGTAATAAAAAAGTCATGAATCCTACACTAAAATATCAATCAGTGCACATTCAATAGATTAAGTGTTGAGACGTCATAAACAGTCCGAGAAAAAACACAAAATATCGACAGAATGTAATAACCGTTAATGTATGATTAAATTTAATTTATTGCGAAACTGCATTAGAACTGCTACTTCATTTACCATAAAATAAAGTCCATTAACCAAAGTAAACTGTGGGAACTTACCATGAGCTACAATGAGTATAACTGGTTTACTTTGGCCTTTTGTAGATATTGCCTGCACGCTGATACTATAGTTATGATCCCAATGAATATCCTGTACTTCAACCCAATTCATATTCTGTAAATAATGTACTTTATTTTGAATACTTTTAGCAATGTTGGCTGTAGGCTGCTCAATGTTACTGAACTAGAGCACATTATTCTTTTTTTTTATTATATTATATAACTTGAGGAAGGTTTAATTAGAAGTATCCATGCATGTTCTTTCTCATTACAGAATACTGCATCACTGAAGTACAATTACAAGTGCCAGTTCTCAAGTACACTGTTAGTGACATTACGGAATGAAATCCAGATGGAAGTACAATAACTAAAACTTGTGTGTAAGAAAACTTGATTTATATACCAGCAGATTACGCCCTGTGAGCTATCATTTAGTTACTGTGAATCTTTCACTTGTAATGAAAGTTGAAGGGATTGAGTACGTAAATTACTAAAGAAATCTGCAAGTATAATTGTAGTATTTAGCTGATGTGATGTCACCATCTATTAAATACTGTTAAATAGTTTAAAATGGTTAAATATTGAAAAACCACAATTCAATATCAGAAGGCTAAATTTGTTTACTAATCATTAAATCACACGGTTGCTAATTATTTACAAGAAACATTTCATTATGAAAAACTGTTATATTTATATCCAAACCAAAACATTGTTTTTAAAGAAAAACTTCATGTATTATACTGGATTTCAAATACGGAACACTTTACCTCCTGAGATAGAGATTTGTAAGATCCTGATATCTTTTCAAGAAAATTGTGGAAATTTTATTTATATTTTTCATTGTATATATATGTATATAGATATGTATTATATTGATTTGTACTTATAACTTTAGGACCCTAATGGATATTAGTAATCTCATCCTCTTATGTAATGATTATCAATTTATTTAGTTTCACACAGTATAAGCAGTATTAGCATAACAAGTTTATATAAACTAATTTGACTCCGCTTATTCAAATAAAGGAGAAAATTAAAAAAAAAAATCATTCACTGAAGTAGCGCATGTGGCTTCAATTTCCCCCATAATCATTTAACAAATGAAGTGAGTAAAAAGTCTTAATCATTGACATAATTGTTAAACCTCCGATAAATATCTGAAATTCTAATATTTTCAATACCTAACATTTCATTAAAGAAATAGCAATTTAAAACAATTAATTTATAATTGTAAAAAACAACGACACAATTATTACATGATTCTGGTTTTTTTATCTTTCCAGATAAAATGCCCGTTTCGCCTACGTAGAATTCCCATCTTGCCTTTCTATATTTTTTTTTTCTGAAATATGCGATTGAAGCGAAATGGAACTCATCGATATGACTTAAATGGGATATTGGGTATACGCCGAAGAGAAAGAAACCGAACGACATATACATTCAAAAGATAGCCGGAGGTCACAATATGGTTTTTAACGGATGGCTCCACAATGTGTCAGAATTTAACTCGGATAAAAAAAAATTACTGCCAATAAATTCAACAGAGACTATAAACATCAACCAAATTCCTCAAATGACAAAAAAATCACAAAAAACCACTGAAGAGGTTGCTGACTTGTAACAGGCACAGGAGCACGTGGCTAGGCTTGACTTGTACTTTTTGTTCGGATAAAACGATAAGTTAAAACTTTATGATAACGCCATAAAAGATATACAAACGTTAGGTACCAGCCAATACTATATATATGCCGTCCTAAACTCTTAAATAAATGCTTATATAAAAATAAAAAGATGTGGTATGCCTGCCAATGAAACAATTATCCACCAAAGACCGAATGACGTACAGATAGCAACTATAGGTCGCTGTACCGCCTTAAACAATGAACAAAACCCATACCGCATAGCAAGCTATAAAAGGCCCCGAAATGGCAAATGTAAAACAATTCATACGGAAAAACAAACTGCCGGATTTATGTACAAAAAAGTAAACGAAAAACACATTTGATATACGATCATATACAGCAACAGACGACAACCACTGAATTACAGGCTCTTGACTTGGGACAGACACATGCAGAATTTGACGGGGTTAAACATGTTAAATTGTGTTGAAAAGGGCCCCATTCATCAGATCGATACAGAGTAAAAAAAATCTTACAAAAACACTAAGAGACACACCGGCGCCGTAAAACTTTCTGAGTAAAATTTTTTTGCTCAGCCTGAGAATTTTCACAATTTTTTTATTCTCAGCAAAATACACCGCCATAAAAAAAATCTCAAATTTTTTCTTACTCAAGATTAAGAATATTCTTAATTTTTTTAGTATAGCCAAAAATAGGACGTTTGAGCGAAATATTCTGTGATACTTGCATTTATATGAATTCCGAAAATATTTTTTAAAATTCGTATTTGGTTCCGCGGAACCCTGTGTCTCGACTACGATTGCTGCTGTCAGTGTAAAAGTGTAATGTTGACTTAAAAATTTATCAGTAAAATACAGATAAAAAAAACTTTTTCTTTAGATGCTATTTCTTGTTCTTAGAGATTAGCTTCTGTACAAATTTCATAACAATCCATGAAGGTTTACAAACTTATGTGAAAAAAATGTAATCCCAGTCTGTCTGTAAATGTTAACTGTAAAAAAACTAATTAGTTCATCTATCAGAAAAATACTGAAAATGAAAATATATTATCAAAACTTTGCATCAGACACTATCTCATAATCATAAAAAAGCTTCTGTTTAAGTTTCGTAAAATTCTAAGAAGGTTTGGTAAAGTATTTGATGTGTAACAAACTTTAACCCAAGACTGTATCTTCTTGTTAACTGTGAAATAAACTAAGTTCATTTATCATTTTTTGCTTCTTTGTTACATTTGTTTGTTTTTATAGTGATTAAGATGATAATACAATGTAGACTGCTGTAACCCTAATTTTGACATTTTTACCTATTGTGTCTGTTTGTTTTGTTCACGCATCGTTGTCAATATAATGGAATTTGATGCGACTGTCATACATGTGAGAGGTTTAGCTAGGTTTTATGGTAGCTATAAAACCAGGTTCAATCCACCATTTTCTACATAAGAAAATGCCTGTACCAAGTCAGGAATATGACAGTTGTTATCCATTCGTTTGATGTGTTTGAGCTTTTGATTTTGCCATTTGATTAGGGACTTTCCTTTTTGAATTTTCCTCGGAGTTCAGTATTTTTGTGATTTTACTTTTTTTTTTATCATTAAAATATGGAAAAATGAAAATAAATATTTTCAAAAATTGCTCTGGATACTGTATTTTTGACATGATCAGGCTTCTGTCCAAATTTCATTAATTTCCACGAAGGTTTGACAAAGTTATAAATGACAGAAAAACTTTAGCCTCCGACTGAATCTGAATGATAACTGTAAAAAAAAAGTCTATTCATCAGTAAAATACGGAAAAATGAAAATAAAAATTATCACAATTTTGATCTGGATACTTTATTTTGGTCATAAACAAGCTTCTGTCCAAATTTCATAAAATTCCACGAAGGTTTGACAAAATTATTGATGACTGAAAAACTTTAACCTCAGACTGAATCTGAATGATAACTGTGAAAAAAAATTTGCTCTTAATACTGTATTTTGGTCTTAAACAAGCTTCTGTCCAAATTTCATAAAATTCCATGAAGATTTGACAAGTTATTGATGTGTAAAAAACTTTAACCACAGGCTGAAACTAAATGTTGACGCCGCCGACGGCGACAACAGTATATAGGATCGCTATGTCTTGCTTTCGCATAATAAATTTCGCAGGCTCGACATAAAGTAAAAAAAAAAGTTAAGTTTTTAAAATGAATATATTTTAATTACCCGAGTAATTCGACCGGTTCTGGCAAGTTCTACTTACCAATCAATTCTACTATAATTCATTGGCTATTCAAATTTTCTTTGTTCTAAATTTCTTATATTTATAAAGTGAAATGTCCCTTGGCACTTGCGATCTTAATATTAATACATGTACATGTTAAAATTGATAAGATTTTGACTGAGACTAATAAAGGAAAAAAACAGCCTTTTTTGTGATAGTTGCCTATATACAGTGGTACAAAATAAAGGCAACAGTAGTATACCGGTGTTCAAAAGTCATAAATCGATTTAGAGAAAACAAATCCGGGTTACAAACTAAAATCGAGGGAAACACATCAACTATAGGAGGAAAACGAAGGAACAACTGGAACACCGAAGTGCAACAAAAACAAACGCCAACACACATAGAAACGAACTATTTGATAACAACTGCCATATTCCTGACTTGCTACAGGACATTTTAAGAAAAAATGGTGGGTTGAACCTTGTTTCATGGCATGCCAAACCTCCCGCATTATGACAATGTTAAAAAATATCGCTAAAACACTACGTGACAGAAACACTAAAAGGAGAAGTCAAAACGTACAAACTATGGACCAGAATCCCATGGACTAGTATTCCGGTACTGCCAGCAGGAAATAATGAGGGATTTTTATGTCAGAATACTAGGATATAAATTTCTAGCCTGTACTGACTTTTAAATAATGCCATTGCCGAGTTTCAAGTTTTATGACAGTGCTTTGATTTTTTTTTTCCACTTAAAAGATGTTTTAAACTTTGTGCGCTTTAAACTCCACATTTTATTAACTATATCCTGCTCAAAATCCTACTTCATCTTCCCTGTGGTGAGCAGGGGGTAACAGATTAAATCGCGCGAACGGAAGAGGTTCTCCTTCATCATTCTTATTTTTTTTTCGCTCAAATGTCCTATACTTTTTTTTATTTTCGTACAATTTTCCTAAAATTTTGGCGCTCAAATGTCCTTTTATTTGTCGCTCAAACGTCCTTTTTTATCGCTCAAATGTCCAATGTCGTATTTTAGTATACTCATGTATAAGTGAATTAAAGGATATGTGGGGTATATGTCTATGAGACAGCCTCAAACCTTTATTTTTGTCCATGTCCTGCATATTATAGCTACTTGTGATTCTATCTATCATAGGTTCCTTTTATGTTTTACATTATTTTATTGCGAAGTTTTGTACAATTTTTTAGTTTTCAAACATCCATTTTACCGCTTACATCGCTGAGAAAAAAAATTCTCAGCTGAGA